TTATCCTTTAATCTAATCTAGCACGATAAATGTTTGGAGTTCGATGATTGGTTAATACATAACATAAATTTATTTCGTTAGATTTGATAACAAATTCCCTGATACAGAAACAAACCCAAGAAAAAAACTAACCCTACTATATGATAAAGAAAAGAATTCAAATTTCAATCGACATATTAACTTGTTAGATACATAAATATATGTATGTGTATGTATGTACGTGTAAATAAGAATGTATTTATCAAAAAACAGTTATCCGAAAGGAAGTTAGTTCTCCTCTTTTTGATTTACCACTCTCCACAACAGTTTCCGTTCGATCCCCATTTCCTTGCATTGACAAGGAAGAAAATAACCAAATGGAAATATAATAAATAGAAAAAGTGTCGTTCCTCTTTCATTGCTAAAGAAATTTTTACCTAAAGGACGGGAATGAAAATGAGGATGACGAGTTAGGACAGTATAGGAGGAGAAATAAGGAAGAAGAAGAAGAAGACGAGAGGAAGAAAAGAGGACTTTGTCAAAACCATTAGGGTTCGTTAAACGACGCCAGTGACAATTTTCGAAAGGAGAGTATCGTGTAACGGGGGATAACAGTTGACGTTCGATCAACAAGGATGACGGTGCGCTGTTGTCAACGTTGAGAATCGATGCGAAAACGAAACGACGACGACGACGACGACGACGACGGTGTTCGAAGGAGGAGACACACACAAGCTGCCGTAGGAAGAAGAACAGTCGTTGGTAGAGTAAGAGGAGAAAGAGGAGGAGGGGGACGCTAACGAGGAGGTGGTGGTTCACTTCGCTGGAAGTAAAAGAGCCGCGAGCCAGAAAATTGCGCTGCAATCTTCCGCACGTCGCTCGGCTCGAAGCGGTGCAATGCACTTTGTTCCACGAATGCTAGCCGACGTTAACGTTGAAATGCAACCAAAGTCCCATTATCTTTTTCCTTCTTCCTCCCCCTTCACCCAACCACACTCTTTCTCTCTCTCTCTCTCTTACTCTTTCTGCGTTAKTCTGTTTCTATACAAGTGGCCTTTCACGGCCAATGTCTCTCTTCTCATTGGTGACGGCACGATTTCGAGAAGTCCCTCTTTTCACCTTCTAATACCTTGGTAATTAATTATAGGGAGAACCCTTCGTCATCATCCCTACCCCTTCTTACCCCCTTTTCTTTCTGTCCGTGTGAATGGGTTGCTCGTCAAAGTTCGTTAGACTTGATTCGATTCATACTAATTCTAGGCTATTTTCTCACCTGACCATCACCGTTAACTTCCAAACTTTGTCCTAATTCCACACACTTATAAACTACCTATATATACATATTATATACATTGAGATATTTCGAAATACGTATTATTGGCTAACATTTGTTTGTTCTAATGTTTAAATTATTAATGAGAGTGAATATTATTGGCCAAATCTAACGGAAATGATTGATTAGATATTTTGAACATTGGTAATCTCATTGGACTAAAAAATATAAAAGTAAATTTTTCTAGGAATATTGAAACCTACTTCGGTTTTAAGACCTAAGTTAACAGTGAATATCTTATGTCGTCACATTTACGGTAATCTTAGCACGTGCGACGTAAGGAGACACATCCTAACGTCCGTTTAGAAATCGCTAAACAGCGCAAGCGCTACAGTACTCTCTTACAAACACATATTCATAAAACACACGGATACCATATAAACGTAAGAGGACAGCAGACACATACTGAGACATACACATACACATAACAGGTATACACGACGACTAACAGACACACCGACTTCTCGTTTTGCTTTCGGCGTTTTCACTTTCCTTGGAAACGTGTCGGCAAGCTGTACCACTTCATCGATCCTCTCACTATGCCACCACGTTGCACTCTAACAGAGAAACGGATGCACCCAGCACGTACTTTAGTAAATACGTTTGCTGTTCGATCTACAAAACTAATAAACTATTTCACTTCCTCTGTCCCCCCCCTTCCACCTATCAAAACCAATACCAAGGTCATACATATACCAGTACGATTCAATTTTCTATTTGTAAATTTATTTATCGTATTATTAGATCAACCTCTTTCTTGATTTGAATTCATTCATTTTGAATAGTACGAGAGACTAGTTGAGACCTCAGAGAGGAAATGAGAAAGATAGGAAAAGAGAGATAGACAAGGGGAGGGGGTAAAGGGTAGAAATGGTGTACGAAAGTTACAACGGATATTACTCATATTGCGGCTAACCGGAGAAACTTCTGATTATCGAAAAGGTTCCTACAGAACCGGGCGGCAACGTTCCTACGTCATTAACCCGTAGTCTAATCAATAGACATAATTATGAAACTATGCGCCATTAATAGTCCCGAGGCTGTGCTAGAACGGCACCGTCATAATATCAGCGGAGGAAGGACGGAAGAGGACTTGTTCGCGCGTAATTAAGCGGGCATATTTTATTGGAAACAGGTAATTGGGCAATAACGAGACTTCCCCCTTTTCCCCTTCTTCCCCGTTACCCATCATCTCTTTCTATGTTCTTCTCACTCACTCATTCATACTCTGGTTTCTTCCTTCCTTCCTTCCTTTCTTCCCTTTCTGTTTCACCCCTAACGCATCGTATCATGGAAGGAGAACGTAAACCAATAGAATAACACGGGAAGTATCGAAAACTTTCTTCACGAGGGGTTCAACGTTATCGTTCAAAGGGAGGATTTTAACAATCGACAAAATTGTCATTTGATTTTCTAACTTGTAAACCTAACAACATGATAAACATTTTATTTTAATAATAAGTAATACAATTTAATCTTGAAATCCGGTTGACAATCTCGATTGGACGAAGGAAAGAAACAAACCTGCTTGCAGGGATACAGAGATATAGTTAACAGCGATAAAATTGTACTACTCAACGAGGAGTCTAACCGTTGTTACGACACATCGGTTTGAGACTAATTAACGAGCCGATGATTACTACTACTACCTACTAACTAACTAACGAGCTAGATCCGTCAGAATCGATTCAGGACACATGCTAGATTTTATTTTAGTTAGTCATTTATTATCTATGTTATACTTATGTTATTATACAGTAATATATCGTTCATTCACTGCTAAAAATTATCGATAAGTTTGTTATTTTTTGTTGTTGCGAATAAGTTAACGATAATCAGAGAGAGAAAGGATGCGAGTAAACGTTTGCATTTCCTGTGCTGCCGCTTGTTAACTGGTCGAACGTTCCGCAAATGCTTATCTGTTATCGGTCGTGTCACCACGACCCCTTTTACTCACTCACTCACGCAAACACACATACTCTTACTCTCTCTCTCTCTTATTCTGTCTGTCTCTTTGTATGTGGGCCACTCTGCCCACAAGTCGGTCGTACCATCCCCCAAATCGTTAAACTATCCTCCAAACACCGAGTACCGCACCACCAAGGGAAACTTCGACGTTAGCAACCCTCGCACCCTTTTCGGACATCCTCTCTTACTCTCTCAATCTCTCTCTTTTCATCTCTATCTCTATCACGGTTTCTCCGAAACGCTCTTAGATACCACTCTCTCGACCTCAGAATCGCACCAAGTGGCTCGAGAATCTGACCAACGAGCAATTACTAGATAGGTGTCGAAAGATTTCGGTGCGGCAAGATTTACCACCTACCGACAAACTCAATCCAAATAATTTCACCAGTGCGAGCACCAATGTTCTATTCTATTTTCGTACATTTTAACGACTATTGCTAACTGTGGTATTGCACTCTGTTGCACGATGGTGGTGGTGGTGGTGGATCACTCGATTTCGTGACGTTTCGCGAAAGGAACGAGCATATATGTAAACGTTCGAAAATTCTCTAACGAAGACACGACTAATGAATAGCCCAAAATGACAGACTTACATTTTACCGTACCCGACGACATTTGCGTCACAATTCTCTCTCTTTCTCTCTCTCTTTCTATCTCTTTTTATTTTTCTAACTAATCTTTTTTCTCATTCTCTTTCTTTCTTTCTATGTGTGTGTTTTCAAAGTGCTTTTTTTTCCCTTTAACAAACCCAATTGACAAACCGTTTTATCGGCGATTTATACCAAAAAGAAAGAATACCTTTCTGACAATTTTTTTTTTTTTTAATATATCCTTGGGCAAAATATACGAAGTCAAACACACATATGCAAAGAGAGAGAAAGAGAAAGATTGGGTCAATACTTTTCCAAGCAGATATTTATTACGGACTGGCAAATCCTAGTTAGAGTTTTCGATCAGTTGTGGGTAAAAGTGTCTTGAAAAATTCATTCGATGTTACTGATATTGCACGTCAGCCTATAAACGACGAGTTCTTGGTGATATTATTTGAACAATTTTTATCGCTACTTTTTCCTTTCTTTTTTTTTTTCCTTTACGCATAATTAATTAATCGCGAAGAAATCGAAACGTAATATTATATAACGATTTATGGATCATTTTTGATTATTTTTACGGTTAAAATAAGAGAGAAAGGAAATGAAAATAAAAGAGGGACGAGAACGGTCCCGCAAGCGGATAGACCGGGACGATTTAAACGTTCCACCCGGCAGGGTTAGCTGCTACGAGAATTGAAACAAGAGGGATAGAGAGTGAAAGAGAGAGAAAGAGAAAGTGGCACGCGCGGCACGGTCGAACCCTCCAGCAACCCTTCGGGATTATCTTAGCCCCGCGTTCGGACGCGAATCGGCCCACTTCCGGATACTAGTCTTCCGAATGGACGGATGGACGTTACAGTTGCCAAAAGGGTTGTTAAAAGTATTCAAATAGAAAATGCACACTTATCTCACGTTATACTCCTAATTTCCTTCCCTAACTAACGTTATTAGAAAATCCATACTATTGGATATCACTTATTTTCCTAACTTCCTTTTCTACAGTTACCAGAATGGTTAGTAAGGGTATTGGGATATAAATTAACACTTTTGGGTATCACTAATCTCACGTTATTTTCCTAACTTGATTTCCTAACTTATTTCGTAACTTGATGAGAAATAAAACATACCTGTTGCCAGAACTGGGCTAGAAGATATATTCGCTCCTTCTTGAAGAGCCAGTCCATGGATTGCATGGCCTGTATATCCAGCGAGTTGGCCTCCGCGGAGGCCTGCATACTTGCCAATGCCACCGAGTTAAGGCTCGCTAATACCGGCTGTTGGAGGGCCGCTGTCACGACGGAGGTGTTACTACCGGCTACCAGATTGGCGTGGTAAACGGTCGCGGCCGGCGCATCCTCTGAACCGCCGCCAGTAGCCAACAATTGGGCCCCGATCGGCGCAGAAGGCCCCTGGAGCCCCAGTGAAGAAGCCACTTTGACGGCTTCAAACTTCTCCGCCGGGCCCAAAACTCCTCTTCCCCTCGTCCCACCGCCGCCTCCACCACCGCCGTCGTCACCTCTTTCCTCGCCTCCGCCGCCACCTCCGTCTCTTCTTCCTTCTCTTCTTCCTTCTTCACCACTTCCACTTCCACTTCCTCCACTTCCTCCACTTCCGCCACCTCCACCTCCTCCACCTCCTCCTCCTGTTCCTCCACCTCCGCAACCGAAAGTTCCCGCGTCTCTTCTCGAACACGTCGTTTGTTTGAACTTTTCCGTCGGTAACGTTTCTTAGACTTTTGTACAAATATTTATTATTATTATTACTATTATTATTATTATTATTATTATTATTATTATTATGATGATGATTATTATTATTATTATTATTATTATTATCACCGATGGTCTTTTTCAAACACTTGACCACAATTTATATTCACCAAGTATTATCGTCCCGGGACTCATCGATTCACTTTTATCATTCGATAACATTTGAAAAAATTGATGGAGGGGGCTGAATTATTATCTTCAGACACAACACGTTTTTGACACTAACTATAGTCTCTTCTTATTTTTTTTTCTTGCAATCCTTTTCTTCTTCTTCCTCTTCTTCTTTTTTTATTACACTTTTAGCTTTATTTATCCTTATTTTTTCCTAATATCAGATATAACAAAGCTAAGATGATCAGCTCAGTGCTTATTCACACCACGTCCACAGATAATAAATAATATTAATTATTATTATTATTATTAATATTATTATCACGATTAATAATGACCGATCTAATTTGTATTTTGCAAGTCAATCTGTCACGAGGATGATGATATTGATGTCGTAGTTCCTTTCACTGTCGGCGCGATTCCTCGAATGTTTCCTGTCCCACGGTGGGTGGCAAGTCATCGGTTATTTGACTTTCTCTAGTCTTTTCTAATTTTTTTTTTTTTTATTCAAAGATTAGCTTCACGTCAGAGTAACGATTCTGGAAATATTCTCGTCCTCTTCATGTTTACCAACCACCGTGGTCGCACCAAAATAATTGTTCTCACTTCGATGATAATTAGAAATAATATTATTGATGATGATGATGATGATGTTGATGATCCCTTGTTTCTTATTATTTCGTAGTGGAAGTCGTTAGGGATTCCGAAGGATACAACTATGTGTTAGATATATCCTATTGTATTTGATATCGATGTTGATTAAAATCAACTGAACACTGTCCTCTTCTACCACGTAACTGTTAGAACAACTCTCCTCACGTAGACACCGCATCACACGAATGGACCCTCTTACGTGAACTCTCACTCGCGTTTAACTATTTACTCTGACACACGACGAATGATTTTCGGTTATAACCAACTTTGACACCACGAGACCAGACCAATGACCACTGGGCAAAATGTACCGAACGTTCTCATTTGACATCTAATTGCTACGTGTGTGTATATGAGAGAGAGACAATCGGTTGTTTGACGATTACGTTAGATGATAACAGAAATGATGATAACAATCTTTGATGATCGATCCTTCGATTAATTATTATCGACACCTTGGATGAAAACAACAAATCGAATACACTTTCGGGGCACTAATAATTTCCTTTAGATATTATTTATCGAAAAACACCAACACACCGATATGTCACGTAATCCTTAGTTCCATCTGACAACAACACTTTGTTTAAAGAATAGAACAACTGTTATTGTGGGTTGATCGATATTAACAGGATTGTGTCCAATCGTTAATTCGATCCTGTTCCTTGACAATCCTTCTAGGTGTCTTAGAAGATGAATGGTAAATCCTTGGTTGGAGTCCTCGATTGTTCCTCTTCTTACCCCTTCCCTTTTTGTGCTAATCAGTTTAGTCAACCAATCTGTCTTTTATGCTTTCTCTCTCTCTTTATTTCTTTTCACGTTGCGTATCGTGTAATATTTCACTTTTAGTCGCGACCGGTCTGCGAACACCCGTTGTCCGCCGCCGCCGCCACCACCGCCGCCGCTCTCGTCCGGGTGCCTCAAGAAGAGAGAACGAGACCCGTCCTAGCAGGCTCCTAACCTGAAACTAAGAGCTACCGGACGACCGATGCAATGCCTGGAGGAGGTGCAGATACTATGGTGGGGGTATGGGCGGGATTATGACTCGGTGGAAGGGGTAGGACGACCCCCTAACGGCCAATAACTTTCCCAGATCCATCCCCACTACCAACCCAATGCGCCCGACGACTAAGAGGATCTACCCAGGGTGGGGATAAGCCGATACGAGTAGTGGGGGGAAAACAAGAACGAAGCGGAGGCTGGCTAGGTGGTCCCAACCAGAACGGATCTCATATTTTCAACTACCCGCGCCGCCCTTTTCCAACCCCTGCCGATCCAAGCCTGCCGCCCTTGCTTCCTTCCTACCCTTCTTATTCTTATTCCTCTTCTTCTTCTTTCYAAACTCTTTTTATTCCGATTTATTTCTATACCTTTCTCTTACTACTTTTCTTACTTTCTGTCTGTCCTGTCTTTTAGGCTCTCTCTTTCTCTTGTCTGCCTGCCTGTCTGACTGTCTGTCTGTCTTTACTTTCTTTTAGACTAGTCGTTTTCCTTATTATCGTTCGAGTTCATCGAAACCAATCGTGACAAACTATTAAACATAATATCGCGGGAAAAACAATGATTTACACAAACGCGAATTATTGATCTTTGATTATTGATCCAACCGAACTTAGGTGTAAACGATAATTGAATTAATTAAATGATCCCCTTCCCATCCTCCATCCGTTCACAAAGTACGAAAATCCTGCCACATAGTGGGGTTGGGGAGAGGGGGAAACTTTCTCTTTCGCGAAACGTAAATGATCCCAGCTCGGTACGTTTAAGATTCCGAAACGGAAAGCTCATTTTGGTATTTTGGATGGAAGTTAAGTTTCCTTAAGAAAACCCTTTCTCTCTGTTAAGTCGAAAACTAAGACGGTAAAGACGTGGCGCCCTCGAGCGAGGATAGAACCGTTCATGCTCTTTTACTCGTGATTCTAATGATCGTTAAGAGGGAACATTCGTGACTTTTGAAACGGTGTTCAAACTATCGAACCTTTTCCTTTCTTCTACCAACGATCTTACACTACCGCCATGTCGTTTAAGATTACACGATTTATTTTTTTATGGTTTTTTTTTTTTTTTCTATCTTTTTCGTTTTTATCACACTTTTCTTCACTGTCATTAACTTAGAAAGAAGATGAAGAAGAAAATAAGAAGGTATAAGTTATTTTTTTTATGGTCATAACCCAACCCATTCGCCACCATAATATCTGCATTATTATTATTATATTATTATTATTATTATTATTAATAAAATTATGTTCCGAGAGACATAATTTTTGTGATAGTTTCTTTGAGATGAACATAATTATATTATTATCATTAATTAATTAATTATTAATTTCTAAATGATAAATCACTGATTAGTTTTAAACAAATTTCTCACTGAACCAGCTCGTGTTATTAAAATTCACTAGAAAATCATTTTCAAAAATTTTCAAGAACGTAACGAATGATCGGCTTTAAGAAATCCTTGTTTGCCCAAACATCGCAAACGTCGGCAGGCAAGAATAAGAAAATGTATAAACACACTGATCAATTTTACTGTTTTATGCGAGTATGTTTAAGTGGTCACGATCGAACAATTAGGAATAGCCAACCCTTCATTTCATTTTAACAACCTTTCCTACCAGTTCATTTTATCATTAAAAGTGAATAACAAAAAACTAAACTATGCACCTGCGAATAATAAAAATAAACAGAAAAGGGTTAAAGAATGAAAATTCGTGCAACAACAAATGTACTTTCTTTTAACGTTTGTAAATGTGTTTGTTTCGTAAAAGGTTTGAAAAATTTGAGTTTAATTCTCATTTAAAAAATCAAGTTGCAATATGTATTTTAATTATTAAATAAACAATACAAAAATCATTGAGCTTTTCTTGGTATTAATCGTGTTATGTGTGAATGATTCTATTAATAAAAAAAAAAAAAAATAATAATAATAAAAATAACAAAATAAAAAGTAAGAATTAGGGAAGATATTAACAGAAATCTGTAATGGCGATAATGACACATAGAAATCGACGCAACCCTAATGATCGTCGAAATTTATGCTCCTTTCTACGAGAAGCTCGGTCGCGCGCGCACACCGTTAACTTTCTCGGAAGTTACGCGCGGCCGGAGAACGTAGACGATAATCCTGTGTAACGCGATGGTTGGAGTACTACCTACTACTACTACTACTACTACTACTATTACTATTACTACTACTACGTTGTTGTTGTTGTTGTTGTTGTTGAAGCGAACGTTAGCGTGGCGAACGCGTTTGGCGCCGGCTAAACAACTCGGCATCGAACTACTACCAACAGAACCGCACGTAGTCAATGTTACTGGAGTGGAATCCCCGTTGATTATGTCTACGATCATTCTAACAAAAGTCTTAATGTTTAACCATTATCCTAGATTATCATTGAAATAATCATTATCGATTATTATCCACAAAGAATTTTTCATAATTTAAACAAAACCAAAAGAACAACCAATATTCTCTTCTTTGTTATATTATTTTATTCAATTTAATAAAAATAATTTTTGTGTGTGTTTTTATCACCCCCCCCCCCCTACTTTTAAATTACGAGATCGTTGAAGTTTTTTTTTTCTATACGAGTGTCTTTTTTTCTCTTTTTCATTTTACTTTGTTCAAACAAAACGCGAAATCTTCGTAACACACGTCTGAAAGTTTATCAGACCCCAACTTCTTCGTTACCCGCCCACGAAAATAATACTACGACCGTCTAGTTGTCAGCGCGTGCTTTACGATCACCCGGTATAACGTGAGGATTAGTTTGTCAACGGCGAACACTGAAAGAGAAAGAGTGTATGTATTTGTGTGTGTTGAGAGAGAGAGAGAGAGAGAGAGAGAGAGCACGCGCGTTAAGTGCGTGTTAGTATTCCGACACGCACACACATACAGATACACACACACACATAAACACAAACACAATTCTAAGTTTCGTGTTGTGTTCATAATCTGTGCATAGGTGAACTCGTTTAACGCGTTTCTATATCTTTCTAATGTTACTCTACTATCTATTATTATTATTAATAGACACTATGTTATATATACTATAAAACACTATACATAAACACTTTAGAAAAATTATTTATGGTGTCACTAACACATGTTCTTAACTTGTATCTTATAAATCGTAATCATCTTTTTCAAACTTAAGACTTGTTTTTGATTTTGTCCATTCTTTTTTATTTTAATTAATTGTAACACAAACACCTCTAGCCATTAATAATAATATTAAATAAATATGAATATTTTGTATATTTAAAAAAAAAAAAAAAAAAAAAAAATTAAACATAATCGTGAAATTGATTAAACGCACATTTGGACACTTATGAGAAAAATATTGAATATTACTAGGGTTGAAAAAGAAGGAAGGATCGTAAACATCTTCTCTGGTTTGCGCAGCTATATAAACGGCATTTCGGTGACTGTACGAGGGCCCCTGACTTCAAACGGATCTTGGAATGCGTTTCTCTTCCCTTCCCTTCTCTAACTCCCCTCTCATTCTATCTTTCTCTCTTTTTATCCTTCTCTTAGCACGCGAGCAAGTTAAGAAGACGAAGAAGAAACGAATATGACAAGATTCAAATGATTTTTCCAAATGTTCAGTTAATCATTTTTTCTTTTTCTTTCTTAATCCCCATTGTTACAACTAACGATAATTTATTTAGAAAATAATTATTTAGATATGTGTGTGTGTGTGTGTGTGTGTTTATTTCTCTCTCTCTTCTTTTTTTTTTTTTTTCATGAATAAATTTGACAAAACTCAAGTGAAACTAGGCGATTGTCCAAAATCTATGAGATTTGGTTTGTGGGGGTATTGCGTTTATGTGTATTAAGTTGTGAATTTTGTAACGAGTATCTCTTCTAGGTTAAATAGAGAGTAAGAGAGAGAGAGAGAGAGAGAATTTTACTGGTCGTATATACCCGAAGTATGGTCGGTCGGTTCTCGTAATAGTACGACAAGTTAATGCGCCGTCTGATATGCGACGTTGGTCAGCGTGTTTTCGATGTACCGTGGAATAACTCACTTGCGACAAATCATTTCTGAGCTTTGAATTACCCCTCCCCCCCGCCTCCCCCCTTCCCCTTTCCCAGCCTTGCTCCTCAACCCATCACAACTCTCCTTTTATCCATGAAGACCCTATCTTTTCTCTAGTCGATCTTTCCCCCCCCCCCTCAACCCCTCAGCTCCTTTTAAAACATTTTATTTCTTAAGAGATACGACATCTTGTCATGGGTTATAAAAATCTTGCTATTATTATTATTATTATTACTAAAATGATGAACAATTGTGATCACTGTACATTGATTATTTATTTGTTTAAATTTGTAATTGTTTATTGAAATAAATGTATATTTATTGAATATTATTTTGGAAGTTTTATTTGAATTGTATAAAATTTAACAAATGATGTTTCAATTTTGTTGTTTAGAAAATATTTATACAGAACTTAGTTGAGTATTTGAAATAAAAATCTTTGATTGTGGTAAAAATGATCGATGTCACGAGTTATAAAAAACTTTACTAACAATATTAATTTATTTATATATTTATTTATTTATTTTTTTTTTTTAAATCAAAATAACTTTAGTGTACACTTAGTAATACTCTGAAGTGAGAAAAATTAATTTACGATCAACTGTACATACGATACACGACCATCTTGTCGCGAGTTATACGCAAAATTTACAATCACCAATTTTCACTTATTTATTCATAATTTTAAAAATTCAAACAAATATTCCAACCTTGCAATAAATACTTGTCACTTAAATTTTCTACAAATATCAAATGAACTCGATGAACACTTAAAAACAAATTTCAAATCAATCCCATCTCTTTTAGAAAATACCAATTACCTATCAAACAAATCAATCTCCTTAATATACCTAATTGATTTTCCAACTAAACGTTTAGAAAAAAAAAAAAATGTAGAAAAGAAATTATCCAAGTACCGATTAAAAATATTATAATCAAAGAATTTCGCTTGGAACAGCACACAGAGATCTCACTTTCTTCATACGGTCACACGCTACTCAATATACCACACACTGATGATAAAGGATTCCACTTCTCTCTCACTCTCTCTAATTCTTTATCTGTCTTCTTCTACTTCTTCTTGATTTTATTCTATATATCTCACACTAACATATTTAAAATCTTCTACACCATTTCTCCCTACTCTTCTCATCACATTCTCCTCATCTCATCTTCGAAGCAACGCGATTCCTTTCGTGCATTTTCTTTTCGAGAAACCCTCCTCTCACCACCCCCATTCACCACCCTCTCTCTCTCTCTCTCTTTCTCTCTCTCTATCTATCTTTCTTTATCTCTTTCTTTCTTTATCCTAACGATGCGATTGTAACAATATCTTTTGCCCCGGCACGAAAGATGCGGTGGTTTATTCTATACTCGTGTACTGTTTAAAAGATCCTGGGTAAGTTCAAGAGCCTCGTTCAGGGACATTCAACATAACACACACTAACTCCTACTTCGAACTCGAATAAGAAACACCGGCATGAGAAGAACAACGTCTTATTCGTATGTTTAAAACGTTGTCATATCATTCGTATTATGTTATATAGTCTTCGATGTCTTTTCTATTTGTCTGTCTGTCCGTCCGTCTTTCCTTCTGTCTGTCTATCTGTCCTTCTGTTTTTTCAACGTTTGACTATCTTTGTTTAATAATCAGACGAAATGTAAGCAAATTTTTTCTCTGTTACCAAGGATAAGGTGTCAAGAGATTTGACCGTTTAACGAAACGTCGGAGGATATGAAACTTACACGCGATATTTTTATCTTTTTTTTCTGTTTTTTTTTTTTTTTTCTATGGAAAAAATTATTTTTTCAAATTTCATTCAACCTATCCAAATTCAATCAACATTTTCAAATATATATATATATATATATATATATATATATATTTTGAATGATTTTTTTCTATTTTATTTTTTTCAATTAATTTTATTGATACTTTCAGATTAGATTCTTTTCTTTTTGATCATTGATGATTTAAGATACAATTGATTTGATATATATTATATATATATATTTTTTTTTATATTTCTGAGATATCAAAATCGTGGAATTTAATTTAGAGATGGGTTTTGATTTTCGATAAATGCTAACTAACCCTAACGAAGTTTCTCACTTGCAAAGAATTGGATCGTGCTAGTCAGCTAGACGCTATCACAAAAAGTCTCGAGTTCTCATTTTTATTTCTTCTTCTTCTTCTTCTTCTTCTACTGGTTAGCGATTTCTTTGCATCATTCTTTCTTTCTCTCTCTCTCTCTCTCTCTCATGACACGAGGTAAGTTGGTTGACCGTATGCGATAAAAGAAAGTACGTCTTTTCTCGAGGACAACGATCATAGGAATTCATTTCTAAAACATTATCAAACATCTCTTTTTATTTTCCTATCAAATTTCTCAAAATCTCAGTTCCCGTACACGTGTTCAATTTTCTAGAGAATATTTATTTATTTAAAAAAAAAAGGGAAAAAAATTATTTAATTAATTAATTAATTAATTTATGAAAAAATAAAAAAAATTGTTAAGTCAGTTGGTTGAACCTGTTTGACTATTCCTCCTTTCCCCCGTGGTTTCTTTCAGTACTACGCGTCAACGATCTCCCCTCGTAAAATCCCCCAAGGTCATTCCCGCGAGTTAGCCTCCACCACCAACCCACCCGACAAAATAATTCCCGATACTTAGTGTCGAGTTTAACACGAGCTGTTTCCTTTCATTTTTTCTTTTTTTTCTTTTTTTTTTCATCTTTTTTCCCCCTTTTTTCTCGGGATACTTTGAGATTTTTACAAACTTTGTCATCTCAAAGAAGACAATTTTCTAATTTGTCATATCACTGATACTAATTTACGTATACATTTATATATTTCGTTAATTGTATTAATATATATATATGTATACATAAATGAAAAAAAAAAAAAATATAACACACAATTATCACAAGCACACAAATCTTGATTGAAGACAATCACCTTATATCGATGCACTTAATTATTCTTCAATCTCTTCAATCTTCTTTCAATAATTATAAACAATTCTGATTAGTAATAAATTTGTTAATATTTTTCATTAGTTAAAGATGAAGATTAAAGTGTCTTCGACGAGTAGTAGCGTGTTCCGGACTCGTTGGTGCATCCGACGAAACTCGGCCGTAAGAAGTTAGCGGAGAGAAGAGGAAACGACAAGAGGAGGAGGAGGAGGAGGAGGAGGAACGAGGTTGAGGTGGAGGTGGATGAGGAGAAGGTAAAAGTAGACGAAGAAGAAGAAGATGAAGAAGAAGAGGGGCAAAGAAGGTAAAACAAGAAGAAGAACAAGAATAAGAAGAGGAAGAGGAAGAGGAGGAGAACGCACACGAGGTGGCAAGAGGAAGGAGGAAGGGTGGGTAGGAAGGGGGTGGGGTTGTAGGTCGAGAGTACTCGCGCGTACGTGTTCTCGGTAGCACGCTTTTGACCAACTCTCGTTTCTCTTCTGAAAATGTTATCCTCCTTGGTTTAGTCCTTGTTGTTCTTCTCGTTTCCTCGATGTTTTTACCGGAGAACCAACCGTGTTTCGCGTATTTTTTTTTTTATAAATAATTCGTTCCTTACGTTTCACCAATACTACTAATCGTAATAAAAATAAACGACGATAATTCTGGTGGTAGTTGATGGTAATGGTGGTAGTTCAAGTGGTGGTGGTGGTGGTGGTGGTGGTAGTTTTGGTTTTGGTATTAATGATAATATTCAAAACAATAATCGTATGTTTGTTCACTTAATTTCATTTCGTTTCTTTTTAACTTTCAAATCCTCCTAATTGTCTTTCTCTTATTATTATTATTATTATTTTTTTCTTTTCCCATCCACGCACCTAACTCTCCACCGCTCGTCCCGTCTGCGTGAACGATGATCCTACTGGGCCTGTGTTCTGCCCGAGACTAACTCGAATGCTCGGCTCCTGCAGCCCTCACAGTCATCCCTCCAGTCACGCACTTTTCTACCCCGTCGAAACTATTGTCCAACTAACCTTACACCTTTTACTAAACATTCTATTCATTTTATTTAATCCTAAAACCTATTCAAATATACCTAATATTATATATTTATCAATTAATAATAAAAAACATATTTTTAATAATAAATAATATAAATAAATTTAACGTATGAACGTATAAAACGTTTATAATCAAATACAACGAAACTTGGACTAAATTTTCTCAACCAGCATACGAGGGACGACTACGGCGCAGGCCGTACGGTGGCGCCTCGTGACGGTAAAACCATGAAACCTGGCCGATGGAACGCAAAGGGTGACTACCCCTCCACTATGGTTCTATCCTACAATCCCCCTCCTACTATCTCTCTCTCCGTTCCGTGACCACGAGGACACGGAACGCGCAAACCTTCGGGGGATGGTGCGCACCGTGTATCAGGTATCGGAAATATCGGTGACTTCAACGGCCTGATCGGAAAGAAGGGTTCCTCGCCATTGGTGATACGTTTTCTCTTCTATCTTTCATCAAATTCAAATATTTTCTTCTTCTTATTATTCTTCTACCCAAATTTATATTCTATTATTATTTATATTGATTGATTATTCACTTGTTCATTTTTTATCTTTTTCTTTTACAATTGATCATCAAAATTATCCTTTCCCAGGACATTTTATTCGATTATTATTCTTCAATACTTAATCATCGAAACTCGAGACACTAAAGTTTATCGACCTTTTCATATTTCTCTCGACAAATATTTGTCGAAAGTTCATTCAATTATAATTCTACGGGAATATTTTCACAATTTTAGAAACAGTTCAAAAATGATGTTCAATTTAAATCTATTTGTTAGACTATTATAAAAAACGATCTTATTCTATTCCAGTTAGAAATTTCATTTAAACGATATACGATTATTCTCCCTCCCCCCCCCCCACACTCCCATTTCCCTTTTATTAATCATTTCTCAAATATGATTACAAATACAAATAGATCCTCGATCATACTAACTTAACAAATGACGATCACGTAACCTTAAAAATCAACGATCGTTAAACAATTACCGTTCTATTTAATAAACAAATATATATCAAATTTACAAACAAAATTTGACAAATAGTTCGATAAAAACATAAAACAATAAAACCATAACTAAATGACAAGACAATAAATAGACGTTTAGGTATGAAACAACTATAGTAGTAAGTCGAACACGTTCGAATAGTCGCACGTCGTACAAGATCATTTACGAGTCCCTAAAGTCGTATCTCAAAGGACGTGTCCGGTTCGTCTGGCGAAAGGTGGATGGGAAAGGAGTAGAGGGGGGAAATAAGAGAGGGGTAAAGGGGGGGAGAGGAAGGGGGTACAGGGTGGAGGTATGGAGTTGGTTGGTGGTGGTGGTGGAAAAGGTACTTTTTGTCACTCCCTCTCCCTATCTTTCTATTTCTCATACACATACGATACAAATACAMATACAGATACATACATACACACAAACACACAGTACACAGATGAGACATGTTAAAGTTGTCTTATTCAGTATTTCTGTCTCTCTCTTTCTCATTCTGTCGAGAGCACCGGTTCTTCTTTCCGATCATATCGGGAGTCAAACCTCGGAGACAAGGGTGGGAAAACGGGGTTTAGGAGCATGCGCCGAGAAAGGGTGAAGTTAAGCGCAGGTTTCTAACCCCTCCGTTCCAATATCTTCCCCCACCATTGGAAAATCTCAAGCAGCGGCAGCTTCAGCAGCAGCAGCAGCAGCAGCAGCAACATCAGCATCAGCAGCAGCACCACCACCATGTGAAGGTGGTGGTAGTGGTGGTGGTGGTGGTGGTAGTAGTGGGGTGATGGTGGTAGTGGTAGTGTGTCGGGGGTGAATGGTGGGGGAACCCAATGCTCGGTGCGTTTCTCGACGGTCACACAACTCGACGTTTTTCCACCCTTATCTTTACTCGTTTCTCATCCCTACCTTGGAAAAGTAGTATAGGCACTTTCACAACTCGTTCCTATGTATAAATACATATATATGTTGTATATGTACATATATACAGAAGAGTACTATGACAATGTGTATGGTTAAAAAACACGAGGATGTTATTTATTTATTTTTTTTTGTTACCCCCCTTCTGACTATGAGGGACGATGATTATTATTATGGACATCTTGTGTCTTTTTTGTTGTTGTCTTTTTTATTAATTTTTTTCCACCTTTTTTTTTGTTGGAAAAAAGCATGTAACATATACTTTTATTGGGAGTCGTAAAAGAAACAAAAATAATTTGTAATAATTGCGAAACACGCGTACGACGTGTTTTACGATTCGACGTATCTGTATTTTTTTGTTATTTAAGACAATCGTTGTTATAAATTTGACATTTTAATTGTTTTCGAAGTATGTTGCAATTTTATACACAATTGTTAATTATTGATAACGACGATTGTCTCTTTTTAAATCGAGTTTACTTGTTTGCACATACGACGTGCCGTTAACACGGTAGTTCTCGTTGTTTCGTCATTACAATACCACGTACAATATGCTCTCGATTATTATCCGAAATAATTTTTTTATCGTTTTTAACGTTACGTAATACAATCGACGAACTACGTAATCTTTCAAAAATTTCATCTTTTTATTATCAATGTCGTTTACGTTATCATTTTAACACGTTCAAGCAAGCGCCACACGAATTTTTACGAAAATCTTCGTCAGCCCACGCGTGACAATATAAAGCGCACTATTGACAGATCATGTACTCGATGTAAATATGTAAACAAAAATTGAACAATTTTTAGTTTGATATATCATATTTTATATTGTCAGTTATGTTAACTGATGATGCTGAACGATAGTGAGCGTCTGTCATCGATAACTAATGCGATTTAACGTTGAGTGTCAAGCATTGGTGACTGACACGGCCTGAATAGGAATTTCAATTTCTGACGTGACTGATTACTGACGTAAATTTATATTTACACGATGCAAATATGTAAATATTATTAAATATCTTTTATAAAATGATAAAGAAGAAGAAGAAGAAGAAGAAGAAGAAAAAAAAACAAAATGAAAATATGATAAAATAACAAAGATATCGTTCGAATAAGTTTTCATTTGTTCATTTTATTTCATTTCATTTATTCGACTAAAATTTTCCATTGATTTTAGAAAATAAAATAGAAATCTCGAACCACATTACTTACTTATTTTTCTCCCTTGATTTTACTTGAACGTAATTTCTTTGGATTTGGATGGAAACAATAATATCTTGTTTCTTTGCGTTGGACATGAACATCTATTCTAGTAGATACATTATCTTTTCTATCTGTGTGTAAACAGAGACAATGAGAACGAGTAATAACGTAGTAACGTAAAGCCCGTTAAATAACTATAACGTATGTTTTTATTTCCTTTTATATTTACTTTCTTTATATCAAGATAAATTTGTACGAAATAATCGATAGGACGTATTTAGAAATAATTATATTTTCTTTACAAATTGTAAGACTAATGAAAGATGACGAATAAGAATAAATAAATTGATGTATTTGATATTTGAATAGAAATATTTTATTTAATATTAATTAAAATTTATGTCCAAAAAAAGAAATATGTAAATTATTATTTATTCTTTACTTTTTTGGTAGAAAATATTTATAAATAATAATTAATAAATTATAAAATACAACGCAATGTAAATAATAATAATAATAATAATAAATTTAAATAATTATTACATTCCAGAAGAAATTAATTACCATCTTTCAAATTTTGTAAACGAATTTTGTAATTTTTACAACACTACAAAAATTAAATAAATATGAATTGTAATAATTGATTGACCATTCATATACAACAAATGAATAACATAAAACAATAAACAATTAACATTATTAAACAATAAAAAAAGTCAAGTATTCTAACATTACAATTAATATCACAATAAACTTCACTATAAATGATCAATTACTTGCTTTAAGATGAAAATAGTATAATAATAGTATAAAAACCTGTCGAAATAGAGAAGATGGTGGAACGAAGAAACAAAAAAAAAAAAAATAAAATAAAAAAATAAAAAAAGAAAAATAAATAGAATGGCGTTAGAATGAGAGAGGGTCTTCCGCGTTGTGTCCAGTTGTTCGTTCATCTTTGCGTGACCTATTGTTTTGCTCCGTTGTTTCTGAAAGCTTCCACGCACATATATATTCTAAGCGTTTATAGTTTCGATCATATAATGAATGCCGATGTAGGCCAGGAACGTCCACGAGATCAGATTTCAACGTACGTGGCGACACTCAACACTCTCTCATTCTCTCTCTCTCTCTCTTACTCTCATTCTTTCTTTTTTTCTTTTGGACTAGCAGAACTCTTGTTCAGTGTCGCTGAACGGGACTGGTGTTCTCCTACAGGGAATAGAAACGATTGCAAATGATATCCTAGTATATTTCTCAGAATTTCATACTAATCGTCTCGCTTTGGTAAGGTATTATAATAATATAAACGCCATGAGAAGAATTGTTACACATTTCTCATACTCACATTTATTTTCATCTTTTATTTCTATGATTTTATTATTATTTTTTTTTTCACACCGTCAACGTTTCGTACTCCTTTTCTTTCCTTTTCTTTTTTTTGTTGTATTTTTTTTATTTTTTTCTTTTTTTTTTTTTTGTTATTATTAATATGAATGACTCATGCTGAATCTGCCGTATTTATTTTATTGCTAACAATAGTTTTTTTTTTTTTTTTTTTTGATAGTTTGATAATTTTTTGTATTCTATGGTGCGACAACTTTTTTTTTTTCTCGTATTGGGTCACTGTTCTTATTTTTCTTATATAATATTAATATAATGATAAAATTTTTTTATATTACAATATACTTATGTATATATTTTTAATATCTATTTATATTTTATTTATATATATTTTAATTATATATATACAATATATATTATAGTATATAATAATATTTAATGTATATTATTAAAATTAATATTGTTAATCTATATTATTATAATATA